TTTTTCTCATTAAATGCAGAATATAATGGTCAATGATATATGATGGCTTTCCTTCTTAAGGAAATCTTCTTTGTTCTCCTTTAACAGATTCTTCCTAATCTTGATTCTTTTCCATGAATAAATATTCTTTCCTTGTGTAGTAAATCCCAGGCAATCTTTTTATTCCATCCAGATTGGTTCTTCTTTTCTTCATAATATTAAATTTCCTTTCAGAGCTTTGCTCCTCTTCCTTTATGGTCAATCTTGGCTCGATGCTTGCCTCTTGACTTATGGAAATAAAATCTTGCTTTGCCTCCCTTTTTGTTCTTTCAAGATTGATTTGCTGCTTCTCTTCTTTACATAGATCTTGAAAATATAATTTATTTTCATATCAAAATCTTGTAGTGACTTGGCAAATCTTTTCAATAGTCTTGCCTTGAGATGGTAGTAAAACCCAGCATTTCTCTTTCAAACTCGTAGTATATATATCCAAAATTGAATAGGATATTATCCTTCAAGAATATATAATATTTTTCCCATTAATACTTGTGAACTCTTCTTCCGGATGTGGAAGTATGAGCTCTTATGTAGACAACCCAAGAGAATTTCAAGATCCTCTTCCTTTTGACTTTGGATCTTGAATATTATCTTCAATATGAAGATGTAAATATATCTTTGAACTTCTATTATATTGGAGATATTCCTTTCTTGATCTTGGAAAATAATCTCCTTCCATAATATAGATTGCACTACATCCATAATATATTTTCTTTCCATAGAGAATATATTCTCCCTTGGCCTTGTAGTATCTTTTTTAAATAGTATCTTCATTGTACAAAATAATAGATCTTCTCCAGGATTTTAGCAACCTTCCTTTCAAGATATTTAAGAACTTTCCTTCCATAATTTCCGTAGAGTCTTCTTCTGATATTGTAGTAAACTATTCAATATTTGAAATATGACTTTCAAATATTATTCATTCCATGACGCTTGAACATAAATCTCTAAAAATAATCTTCCTTGATAAAATCATCATATGATATTCTCTTTCTCATATTTGTTTGGATCTTTACCAGCATCTTCTTTCTCGAATAAACCTGTGTAAGAATAAGACTACCACAAGTAAATGTTCTTTGATTAATAATTATGTTGGTTTGTTATCATCAAAATTAATGCGTGAAACTTTGAAGCTAACAATCTCCCCCTTTTTGATGATGGCAAACCATTGAGTACAAAAAAAGAAAATTTTATCAAAGACTTAATTAAAGGCACTAATAGGATAAGCTAGATAAACGGGTTACTTCCCTGAAGTAATCTTCTTGAAATGCATGTAGTACATCAAGTGTGAACTCCCCCTCACTCTATGCAATCCTCGGTTATGCTCCACCCGTCTCCATGTATTCTACCTGAATTTTTGAGCTTTTCGATCTTTTGTACATATTATTTTCTCCCCCTTTTGGCATCATCAAAAGGGTGAAGGAACTTGTAGCGAGTATGCAAGTAAAGTATAACTGTAACTTATAATCATCCAGGGAGTTATAAAAAATATGTAGTAAAGATTCCCTTTAAGAGCCGTAAGCAAAAAGAAAAATCTAATAAAATTTAAGCTAGTTAACAACTTTTAATCCGACCAAAATATCCAAAGTATTAACCCAAAGCCAAAAAATATAGAACTGTTGTTGTAGGTAGACAAAAAGAATTCTAGACCACAGAAGAACATCATTTCACATGATTGAAAGCTCACCAGAGATTAAAAAAACTCACAGAATACTTGATTTTTCAAAACATCATTTAGCATATAAGACAGTGTAATCGCACATAGTCACTTGAAAAACGCTCGATGATTTAAAAAGATTAAGAAACTTTTGATATCCTAACATGTTAAACTTTCAAGAGAAATTTGAGCAAAGATTTAAGACTCTTAGAAAGATTACAACATATTAATGCATACAAGAGTCAAGAAATGGTCATATATTTATATCACCAAAAAGAAGGATATGGGATCATTCTCATGAAAGTCGTTATCCTTTTCATGACATGATAATATTAAAAATCTCCATCCCATTTTTATTCCATTCCACTTAGTTGCCTGCTAGGTTTACATCTGAAAATATTCTACTAAATCAAAGTAATTAGTTCTTGCATACAGTAATCCATGATTTAGAATCAACCAAAGATCTTTTGTGTCACTATAAAAAAATATTATGTGATCAGGTATACCAAAATATTTATCATAAAAATGCAATAGAGAGCTAGTCATACCTTGGTACTTTAATCGATCGTTGGACTTACTAATTTTCTCCTTGCTTCGCATTATTTGGAATGTGAAGATAAGGTAAATTCTCCATTATACTCATTTCCAACTCGATCATCTACTAGAGGCTTAAAAATGCTTGACATGTTTTTGGTTAGTAATACAAAAAATATGCTCTTGTAAATGCATCTTTAGAAAGAATAATCGCCAGATGATAAACATGAATATGTTTCAAATGGTAACTAGTCTTAATCATATGAATGTGATTCAAAAAACTTTCAATTCCATAGAGAGGCTAGAGAATAATGTTATGCAGTTTTCAAACCATTTAAAATATTTCAACATTCATACAAACTTTGTAATATGCACATGAAAAATGATATTCTAACAAAACTCTCAAGGAAGAAACAGACCTTCTTGTTGTGAAACCTTGAGCTACAAGTTTACACAAAATTTTCACAATCTTACCAATCTTATCTAGCTTTAGATATCCATGATTGCAGCTCATTTGCTTGGTACTGGATTTCCATACTGTTAATTCTTTCAGCTTCGCTCAACAAATCTTGTATTACTAGGATCCAGCATTCATCGTTTAATGCTTCTTCATGACTGTCTAGTTCAACTAGTATAGATGTGTCACTAGCAATTTATTTGATGCTATCCACTATAATTCTCCATCCTTATTCACAATATGCTTAGAAAAATATTAGTATAAGGAAAACGCACATGATGAGATTTCTCTACAACTAATGAATAAGAAATATGTCAAGAGCTTACCAAGACAGTTGCAACTAAAGAAAATAAGATAACCAAAAGTTGATTTTTCTTCCTTCCCATAGCTCAGACAAAAATTCATTCAAGATAAGATATTAAAGCACATATAAGCCAATAATGACAATTTATGCAAAACTGATGCTTTCTTTCCAAGTCTGCTTTCAACTGAGGCGTCAAACTAAAGATGTAAAAATCATGCTTGTTGCAAGAAAATGTCAAATAGATACTATTAAGACACACATCGATGAACATTGCAAATGCATTATTTTCTTAAAAAATGACCTATGCAAAAGTAAGGATAATCATCAATAGAAACATATATATATATATATATATATATATATATGTACCTCCCAAAATTTTGAGTCTTAGGAACAGTCGAGTATCTCCTCCTGCACAAGTTACCGAGGCATCAAGGTTTAACAACCTTCTTAGATTTGAATGAAATATTGAAGCTTTCACTAAGAGAATGGATATAAGAAGTAATTCTCTTCACAAATTATCTTAAGCTCACAATTACATGAGAGGAATGCGTGCATGCATGCTTGCTTATCCTAATGCTTATACAAATGGCATGGTTCATGCAATATATTCGTTTCTAAGTCAAGGATAAGATTAACACCGAACATAATTGTTGCAGCAAGTCGACTCAAGCAATATGTAGTTGTACATATCATACTATATTTAACCAAAAGATATTACTAGATACGTATCACCTTATAAAGTATCCGAAGGAACTTGAATAGCCTTTAGTCATATCAAACACTTAAGCTTTACCATCATGTGTAATAGTTCCTTCATCATTTATAGAGAATGTATGAACTTTGAAGCATCTTTAAGTATGTGCCTTGACCAGCCATTATGCAAATTTCATTTATCCCTTTTTATGGCTGGACTCAGAATTCCTGCAAAACAAATTAATTTATTTTTGGTACCCAAATCTTTTTGGGTCCTTCATGGTTAGTAGATTGAATAATTCGAGATGCATATAACTGTTTTGGTCTCCAAACATATTTTGATCTAACATGACTTTTGGTATAATTACATGTAAATACTTTATGTCCAGAATTGCCACAATAGTGACATGTAATATGAGAATAAGAGTGTTTACTTGCAGCTGCCTTATTAGTTGACTTGGAGCTTTCCTCAGTCAACTTGTTCAAAGAAGGACGTTTACCAGTAGATCCCTTTTCAGTCGACTTATAGCTGTTAAGCCAAGTAGACGACTTTGATCGATCAAAGTAGTGGCTGGGGGATTTGTGCAAGCTGCTTATTTGTTTGCGAAGCTCAAAATTTTCTTCTTTAAGTAAGTTGTTCTCCACCGGATATTCTTTAAGTTGAGTATCCCACTCATTCTTTTCATTTCTCAACTTGTTATATTCTTCAAATTGGATCTCCCAATCTTTCTTCTCATGCATCAGCTTCTTATATTCTTCAAGTTGGATCTCCCAATTCTTTTTCTCCTTCCTCAACTTATTATATTCATTTAGAACTTTCTTACAGCCATTGAGAACCAATTCAATATCATCCTGCAATTCATCACATTTATCGCAACACGTAATAGGAGTGGGGCATACCTTGTTAATTTCTCCCACTGCCATAAAACATTGATTCTCCATTCTTTCGTGATTGTTTTCTTCTTCATATTCATCCTCGTCTCTCCAATATTTGTGATTCTTTTTCTTGAGATCACAATCCAGAATAGCATTAAAGCACGCCTCGTCAATTTCTTCTTTTTTCTTGAGACATATGTTTGTCATTTCTTCTTGATCATCCTCGTCGCTCCAAGTTGAGATTCTATGATTTTCCTTCTTGATGTTGGGACATTTTAATTTCATATGTTCAGGTTTACCACATTTGTAGCAGCATATGTTCTCTTGTTGTTGAACCTCATTCTTCTGATTCTTTTGATGATTCCGGATGGATTGAGATTTTTTATTCTGCTTCTTCTACTCTTCCTTTTTCTCGTCCTGGGTATCACGCCCAAGTCTTCTCAATCTTCATCATTTTCAGATTCTTCAAGAGTTGACGTGGATTCAATTTCCTTAACTTTGTTGGCGTCCCCATGGATATTTTCCAATCTGTCCCATATATCTTGAGCAGTCTCACAGGTGGATATTCTCTTATATTCTTCTTCACTAATCGCACAATAGAGCATGTTGATTGCTCTAGCATTTGTTTGTATAATATCCAACTGTTCTTCTATGTAGTCAAATATGGATGCCCTTTTTACAAGCTTCTTTCCATCACTGTTGTTCGGAATACGTCTGGGTCCATTCTGAATAACTAGCCAGGCTCGATAATCTATTGATTGAATATGAACTTTCATTCTTTCCATCCAATGGCTATAGTATTGATTATTTAAGTACGGTGGCCTTCATGTTGAGTATCCCTCTTGAAGTATGGTCCCAACAATTTGATGACCTACCATGGATCTTTTCTCACTTGCTGCTAAGCAAAAAAAATAAAGATGTGAGACCTGCTCTGATACTAATTGAAAGTACAAGAGGGGGGGGTGAATTGTAGCCTTTTTAAATTTCTAGTCGACTACTCTTCAGACCTAGTCGACTTATACAGAGACAGCATGCACAGAGTTAGTCCTTTCGATTTAAACAAGTGTTAATCACAATAAACAGTAAAGGAACAGAATATAATATAAGAGCAATAAGGTAAATGACACCAGGAATTTTATATTGGTTCGGAACCAATGTGGTATCCTAATCCAGTCCTCTTGGGTTGCAAGAGTGTTATCTTTTTTAGCTCTTCGTAAATTGAATTGAGTACAACCTTTGTGATTTTCAGCGATCACCACCAACGCTGACAGGGTTGGTTTTCACTCGCTCACCAACAACGACCCTTTGGTTGTCACTCGCTCATCAAAGAAACGAAAAATGACACAACCTCTAGGACACACTGCCTCTCCAATATTTTCCTGTCTCTCTTCTCTCTTTTGGGTACACAGTAAATCTACTAAAGTGAATTACAATTCTTGTTAAGAGTAGAATAAAGAACTTGTAGTTGGATAGACAATTGTATAGAAGGTTGCGTGAATCTTCTCCTCGGTTGCTCTTCAACTTATATTGTTGCCTCTAATATAACCGTTGCTGATTTTTCTCATTAAATGCAGAATATAATGGTCAATGATATATGATGGCTTTCCTTCTTAAGGAAATCTTCTTTGTGCTCCTTTAACAGATTCTTCCTAATCTTGATTCTTTCCCACAAATAAATATTCTTTCCTTGTATAGTAAATCCCAGACAATCTTTTTATTCCATCCAGATTGGTTCTTCTTTTCTTCATAATATTAAATTTCCTTTCAGAGCTTTGCTCCTCTTCCTTTATGGTCAATCTTGGCTCGATGCTTGCCTCTTGACTTATGGAAATAAAATCTTGCTTTGCCTCCCTTTTTTATTTCAAGATTGATTTGCTGCTTCCCTTCTTTACATAGATCTTGAAAATATAATTTATTTCCATATCAAAATCTTGTAGTGACTTCGCAAATCTTTTCAATAGTCTTGCCTTGAGATGGTAGTAAAACCCAACACTTCTGTTTCAAACTCGTAGTATATATATCCAAAATTGAAAAGGATATCCTCCTTCAAGAATATATAATATTTTTCCCATTAATACTTGTGAACTCTTCTTCTGGATGTGCAAGTATGAGCTGTTATGTAGACAACCCAAGAGAATTTCAAGATCCGCTTCCTTTTGACTTTGGATCTTGAATATTATCTTCAATATGAAGATCTCAATATATCTTTGAACTCCTATTATATTGGAGATATTCCTTTCTTGATCTTGGGAAATAATCTCCTTCCATAATATAGATTGCACTACATCCATAAGATATTTTCTTTCCATAGAGAATATATTCTCCCTTGGCCTTGTAGTATCTTCCTTGCACAAAATAATAGATCTTCTCCAGGATTTTAGCAACCTTCCTTTCAAGATATTTAAGAACTTTCCTTCCATAATTTCCTTAGAGTCTTCTTCTGATATTGTAGTAAACTATTCAATATTTGAAATATGACTTTCAAATATTATTCATTCCATGACGCTTGGATATAAATCTCTAAAAATAATCTTCCTTGATAAAATCATCATATGATATTCTCTTTCTCATATTTGTTTGGATCTTTACCAGCATCTTCTTTCTCGAATAAACCTATGTAAGAATAAGACTACCACAAGTAAATGTTCTTTGATTAATAATTATGTTGGTTTGTTATCATCAAAACTAATGCGTGAAACCTTGAAGCTAACATTCTCGGCCACAGCATGCCCCGCAGAGTTCACAGGCTATGATCACAGCACCAGTTGCTATCCCAACTGCCCAGCCAGCTAGAGATGGCGGACGGGGAGGTAGAGGTCGCCCTCGAGGGGGAGGCCAGGCCAGATACTATGCTTTTCCTGCCCGTACTGAGGCTGTCGCCTCGGATTCTGTCATCACAGGTACTATCTTATTCTGTCACAGAGATGCGTCGGTTCTATTCGATCCAGGCTCCACTTATTCTTATGTGTCTTCTTATTTTGCTCCGCATTTGGGTGTATTTTGGGATTCTTTGAGTTCCCCTGTTTATGTTTCTACTATTATGGGAGATTCTCTTGTTGTGGACCGCGTTTATCGGTCGTGTTTGGTTGCTCTTAGTGGTTTTGAGACCATATCCGATTTATTGTTACTCAACATGGTTGATTTTGATATTATCTTGGGCATGGACTGGTTGTCGCCCCATTTTGCTATTCTTGATTGTCACGCCAAAATCGTGACGCTGGCTATGCCAGGTGTAACGCGTGTTGAGTGGAGGGGTGCCTTAGGTCACCTCCCAGTAGAGTTATTTCTTTCCTCAAGGCTCAATGTATGGTTGAGAAAGGGTGTGATGCGTATCTAGCTTATGTGAGAGATGTCAGTATGGATACCCCTTCTTTTGATTCAGTCCCAGTAGTATGGGATTTCTCTGATGTGTTTCCAGCTGATCTTCCGGGCATGCCGCCCGATAGAGATATTGATTTTGGCATTGATCTGTTGCCGGGCACTCAGCCCATTTCTATCCCTCCGTGTTGTATAGCTCCTCCTGAGTTGAAGGAGTTGAAGGAGCAGTTGCAGGAATTGCTTGATAAGGGTTTCATTAGGCCCAGTGTATCACCTTGGGGTGCTCCTGTCTTATTTGTGAAAAAGAAGGATGGTTCTATGCGTATGTGTATTGATTATCACCAGTTGAACAAGGTTACAGTGAAGAACCATTATCCTTTGCCTCGTATTGATGAAATGTTTGACCAGTTACACGGTGCTTGTGTGTTTTCTAAGATTGACTTGCGTTTAGGCTATCACCAGTTGAAGATTCGGGAGCCAGATATCACTAAGACTGCCTTTAGGACTCGGTATGGTCATTACGAGTTCCTTGTTATGTCATTTGGGCTGACTAATGCCCCAGCAGCCTTCATGCATCTGATGCACAATGTTTTTCGGCCATATCTTGACTCATTCGTGATTATTTTTATTGATGACATTCGGGTATATTCTCGGAGTCGGAAAGATCATGAGCAGCACTTGAGGACAGTGCTCCAAACCTTGAGAGAAAAGAAACTATATGCTAAGTTCTCAAATGTGGTTTTGGTTGGATTCTGTGGCGTTCTTGGGTCACGTGGTCTCGAGTGAGGGTATTCAAGTGGATCCGAAGAAAGTGGAGGCAGTGCAGAGTTGGCCCAGACCATCCTCAGCTACAGAGATCCGCAGTTTCCTTGGCTTGGCAGGTTATAGCCGTCGATTTGTTCAGGGGTTTTCATCTATTGCAGCACCTATGACCAGACTGACCCAGAAGGGTGCTCCGTTCCAGTGGATGGATTCAGAAGCTCAAGACAGCTTTAACTACAGCCCCAGTTTTGATATTGCCTACCGGTTTGGGGTCTTATACTGTCTATTATGATACCTCGAGAGTTGGCCTTGGAGCGGTATTGATGCAGGACGATAGGGTGATTGCCTACGCATCCAGACAATTGAAGATACATGAAAAGAATTATCCTGTCCATGATCTTGAGTTAGTTGCTATTGTTCACACCTTGAAGATCTAGCGTCATTATTTGTACGGTGTGCCTTGTGAGATTTATACGGATCACCAGAGTTTGCAGCATCTGTTCAAGCAGAAGGACCTTAATTTGCGTTAGAGGAGATGGCTAGAGCTGCTGAAGGATTATGATATCACTATTTGTATCACCCGGGCAAGGCCAATGTGGTGGCCGATGCTTTGAGTCACCGGGCAAAGAGTTTGGGGAGTTTGGCTTATTTACCAGCAGCAGAGAGGCCCATAGCGATGGATGTTCAGGCCTTAGCCAGCCAGTTTGTGAGGTTGGACCTTTCGGAGCCTAGTCGGGTTCTAGCTTGTGTGGTCTCTCGGTCTTCCTTGTTTGATCGTATCCGGGAGCATCAGTTTGATGACCCTCATTTGCTTGTCCTCAAGGACAAAGTGTTGCACGGCGATGCTCGAGATGTGACTATTGGTGATGACTGGGTATTGAGGATGCAGGGTCGAGTTTGTGTGCCCAATGTTGATGGGCTTCGGGAGTTGATTCTAGAGGAGGTCCATAGTTCGCGGTATTCCATTCATCCCGGTGCCGTGAAGATGTATCAGGATTTAAGGCAGCACTACCGGTGGAGGCGGATGAAGAAAGATATAGTTGGATTTGTAGCTCGATGCCTTAATTGTCAGCAGGTGAAGTTTGAGCACCAGAGACAGGGTGGATTGCTTCAGCAGATAGAGATTCCGGAGTGGAAGTGGGAGCGGATCACCATGGACTTCGTATCTGGGCTCCCACGGACTTTGAGGAAGTTCGATACCATTTGGGTTATTATGGATCGGCTGACCAAGTTCGCGCATTTTATTCCTGTGTGTACTGCCTATTCCTCGGAGCGATTGGCGGAGATTTACATCCGGGAGATTGTCCGTTTGCATGGTATTCCAGTTTCTATCATTTTCGACAGAGGTACTCAGTTCACATCGCGATTATGGAGAGCCATACAACATGAGTTGGGTACTCGGGTGGAGATGAGCACAGCATTTCACCATCAGACGGACGGACAGTCCGAGCGCGCTATTCAGATTCTTAAGGATATGCCCCGTGCGTGTGTGATTGAGTTTGGAGGGTCTTGGGATCAGTTATTGCCATTGGCGGAGTTTGCCTACAACAACAGCTATCAGTCCAGCATTCAGATGGCACCGTATGAGGCTTTATATGGTAGGCGGTGTAGATCTTCGGTGGGTTGGTTCGAGTCGGGTGAGGCTAGATTATTTGGCAAAGACTTGGTACAGGATGCCTTGGAGAAGGTTAAGGTG